GCGGATGCGGTAACAGTTCAAAGCCACAGTTGTGAATTTCAGCCATTGACTGTACTGACGTGTGAACACGGGCGTTATCTTGATGAAACAGGACTTTTCTTCTGAGCATTCCTCGACGTTTTTCTTTTATTTCCTCTCGTAAACAACGTAGTAAGGTGCAATAGTAATCAGAGTTTATAGTCTGACCCCTTTCAAGATAATCATTCAAAATCACACCTTTCGAGTCCCAGAATACTGAAGCCATCACCTTATTTGCCGACAAAATCGACTTAGCCTTTTTAGGGGGTGGTGAACCAGGTCTTCTCCACTGTTTTGATTGTTGTTTTGTTTCCGGTGTACAGTAATGAACCCATGTTTCGTCCATAATAACAAAACGATTCAAAAAATCATCTGCATCGGCTTCAAATAACTCCAAACAGTCGCGTGAAATAGTCAATCGCGTCCTTTTTTGTTCAACTGAAAGCAGTCGCGGAACCCACCTCGCAGACACCTTGTGGAAACCCAACTCGTTGATAATGATGTTTTGAGTTCGTTCATAAGAGATGCCTATAATCTCGGCTATCTCTCTAATTTTTAATCTGCGGTCTCCCATTATTAAATCAAGTACTTTTTTAATATTTTCGTTAGTAGTTGACGTCGAAGGCCTTCCAGAGCGGGGTTCATCTTTCACACTCTCTCTACCACGCTTAAATTCTGCTATCCATTTTTTGACGGATGAATATGACAGAACACAATCGCCTAATGTACTGTTTTGTTTTTGACCATGTCATCATGGATGGCTTTTGATGATAGCCCCTTCTTATGGAGGTACTTAATGACGGCACGCTGCTCGATTTGCTCCATTCGCGGAAATTATGTCCGATTACTTTGTTAATAAATTTATAAAATCACAACTAATTATCGCACACGTTTCGAACTTCACACAATGAACTAGTCTGAACTAAACTAAATAATGTGGGTAGATTTGATTTTTAGAATTGAATGGATCTGTGTTAGGCCGAGTACTTTTCAATCCACCCTCGTATAACTAAGCTCGACAGGCTGATTTTTAATAGTATTAAAGGCTTTCGTTTTCGACGTGTTTTAAGAATTCCTACAAGACAAGCGGGATGGATTTTTCTATAGGATAGAGTGACAAACGAGCACACAGTCCACCTAATGGTCAGTGGTTGCTGCGTTCCATAGACAGCTACATCCATCCTCGATTACGAATCAAAATGCAGATGCATTTTCACCAGTGAGGAAAACGATGAAATGCCTCGTTTCCTGTATAAAGAGTCTCCGGTTCTCTGCGTTCACCATACGACAGCATCATTAAGCGACTAGTTGACGCCAGTATTCTTTAAAATCGTGGTCCTTCTCCGGTCCATCCATTCGCGCTACAACTATACTACTATTATAACTGCAGCATGGGTATACCACGTAAATTCATTCATTTAAATTCTCTTGCGCCGTCAAAACATCGGCTTTCCTGATTTCTAATTTTAAAGAACGTTATCATCATGATCATCATCATCATCATCATTACAGCCCTTCACAAGTCCACTACTAAACAAAGGCCTTCCCCAAGGAATGCGACATAACATCATCCTGAGCTAACTGCATCCATCTACTTCTTGCATATCTTACCAGGTCGTCACTGCATTCAGGTGGAAGACGCCCTACGCTTCGCCTGCCGGTACAAAGCTGCCACCCGAGAAATTTTCTTCACTATCGGTTGTCGGTTCTTCGTGCTATATCGCGTATATTGCCTATTTTCAATTATTTAAAAAGGGATAGAAACCTGCTTTTGAAAGCATTCGGTTACCTAAGGCTATTAATGCACACATCGCTTTTCCATGTCACGGTGATTACGTGACAGTGTAAATTGATACACGGACGGCGTGTTGGCAGACTGTTTAATACTGTTGCATTTTTAGTTTAAATGGCAGTCCACTCTTTAATTTAAATAAATAAGACTATTATAAAGTGTGATGTAAATTTAAATAGAGAAGGTGTAGTATAAATAAAGGTCATTAGACGGTCAGTCCATCTAGGACACGCAGAGTTAAACAGTTTGTTTGATTTTTATTTCAGTTTTACACGTGTATAGCCACGCTGCAGCCCGGTGAGGACTATTCTCACACAGAATACCAGCGGAAAAAGCTGCGTAATACTACTGCGTTTCGTATGGTGAGTGTAGAAAACCGGAGACCCTTTTTACTGGCAACGAAGCATTCTATCTTAGTATTCAGGGGTGATAACGCATCTACATTTGGATTCATAGCCATCCACTTTTCCACTTTTTTATAGAGTAAGTGTAACAAATGAACGCACAGTCCACCTGATGGTAAGTGGAGGTGTCCACCTCAACGCCTCAACTATACATGGGAAAAGTCTTATGTGGAAGCAGTTTCTTTTAAGTACAATTTATTTCAGAAATAAAGACACTCACCATATTACGATATTATTATAAATAGTTTCATAGACATGGAAATATTTACACCCACGTTCCACGCTTAAAAGTCTTAAACGTGTTTATTAAAAAAGGTACGAGCAGTTTCTAAATTCAGGGTTCACGAGCCACGCTGAATCCAATAGAGAATAAGCTGCACGTATCATTTGTTTGAAGTAGACTTTCTGCGAAACATCAAGAAAGAGGCGTAAAAAATAATTCGAAGATGAGATTCGCGACAGTAAATATTAAACTTACTACTAATTAGACATGTGAACAGTCTACTGCTGAACTTCTGTGCCTAAATCAGCAGGCAAAACAATGATGGCAGTGACATACGTCTTACAACCTTGACGGTCTCACCGACTGGTTAACATCTAAACAAATGGGATATAGTCGTCTGTTCGAGACTTCGAGAGCATGAAATCCTCGTGGCTACTCCCCATAGTAGCAGCTCACAGCAACCGTAAGGTTATATGTAATCCTACGTTTCTACTAAACGAATATTTATTATTTAAGAAAATATCTGTCTCCGACTTCTTAGTACCTTTGTATTCTTTGTTGTGTTTATTTTGAGCCTTCTTTGTCCGAATATTAAATGTTACTTTGCTTATCTAATACTTTTATTCCTTCTATACTTCATCATTCAGGATTTACATCCATCATTCACCTCCTTTACTCGTCGAGTTAGGGGCAAGCAAGGCTTTGGAATACACTTCCTGATGACATAAGGTGCAACGTCAGGTGCCAGCGAGATACTAATAGTAACTAGAACCACCATTCGAAATGTAGGTATTTTGAAAAAATGTATATGTGTGTATTCATATTGATAAATGTATAATACAATGTGATTGTGTAAGCGATGCACAGCCAACCTATGCCTGCTAATCTATCACTTCTTTCACAATTTTCCATCTAAACCCAATTTTTTTCGGCAATCCGGTGCCCGACTAACTCGCTGCTCTTTGAATTCTGCCTATCACCTCCGGATTACTGGCGCAACATTATGTATAGATATGTGTGTATGAATATACATATATGTGTATATATTTCATAGGACTATAATCGTTTATATGTTTCGCCTGTTTCGTGACTCGTGTCATTATTGTACCGCTTTAAAGATTTTGGGTAATCCCGGTTGACTGGCATAGAATGCTTTGTATTAAGTCCACCTATTGTACTTATATATAACCATATAGTATAGAAAAGGTTTAAGAAATTGCTTATTTCTCGTATAAACAACTTCACGAAATATAAATGGATTAGAAAGTGCCAGTATTTTCTCAAAGTTTAGCCAAGTTGGAGAACTTGAATTGACTCAGTATAAAGTATTAACGACTTCCCCCTTATTCATGAATGTTAAATATGCTGTCGGTTCACGTACAAAAATGAAAATAATTCTATTTTTATAATTATAAAAATGTATATATGAAACATCATACATAAAAGACCTGAACTAGCACAGTTGAACTTCTGCTGTGTGTCTCTCTATGTGTACAATAAACAATATTAAAAAAGTCATCTCTATCATGAGTAACGGTATGCATATGCAACGTTGTTTCTCCATTTCTTCACAGCTGAGTTAACGCATTGTTTGTCATAACAATGCACTTAACCGTCATTGCTATTCAGCTGTAACGGGCGCGGGCGGGAGCACCAGTTTAAATTCAGTAGCTCCTCTTATTGTGAGGAGTAATTAAAAAGATACGGATATGTGTGGATGTTGACTCATCTTCTACATGCGCAGCGAGCGAGACGTCACGGTGCAATTAGGAAAGAGTATTTTTTTTTAATGTGCATGTGTAATGTTACAGACTAGAAGCTCGTAGGTCTGGGCTCAGTCCTTCTCTTATTTTTAAGAGGATTTGGGGCAAGGAAATGTCCGCCGCGCTGCATACTATGCGTGTTGGCGGACGTGACATGTCTTCGAAATATATTTGTTTAATTTCTCAGACATGCAGCTTTCCTCGAGATGTTTTTCTTCACCGCCGAGCACGTAATACAACTTAAAATGAATAGAACCGGGTTGCAAAGCTAAGAAAAAAAAGGTCTCTTCAAAGTAGCTAAGACACATCATCTTATTTTATTACGCGGATTTTAGTTAATTAAAATTGAACAGCTATACAAATAAATAAAACTGAACTGTCTGTTTATAATGTCACAAAACACTTTTTGTTAAATGCATATGTAAGTTCATACAGTACTTATAACAAAAAACAATTTTTCAAAATTTTTTGTCTGACCGATTTTGACGGGATTTTCATTGGCATATAGCTGATGTTATAAGGGTAACTTAGGCTACTTTTATTTAAAAAAAGAGATAGGTTTCCGCGCACAAAAAAAAATTAAAACAGGAGAACAGATAAGTATTATATAAAATAAATAATATATTATCAGAGTAAAGAGCACTGAAGTGACGATCTGGTAACACATGCAGAAAGTCGATGAATGCAGGCGACTCAGGAGCGTGCTTTGTGGCATTACTTGGGGGAGGCCTATGTTCAGCAGTGGACTCGTGAAGGGCTTGTGAATTAAGTGAATAAATGAAAGGGCAAGGTGTGTGTACCTGTAAGTGAGTGCAGCGGAGCCATAGCCGGGGTTATGCAGGCGTAGCTGCGCGGGCTGGTAGGGCTGCGCGTAGGGCGCGGCGGGCGCGCGCGGCTGCGGCACGCCCGCGCCCGCACCGCCCGCCGGCTTGCCGCCGTACGCCAGCGCCGCGCCCGCGCCCGCCACGCCACCCGCCCCGCCGCCGCCCCCGCCGCCACCGCCCGCGTGCCCGTGCTCCGCCTGCCCGGGCCTGCAACAACAACACGTTCCATTAAGTATGAAGAACAAAATCAGTGTTAGATGTTTACAAAACAAACAAATAAGTATAATTAAATTCTCGGCCGCTCGCGGTCCACTAAAGAAATTATGATCAATTGACCGTAACTTAGTATGTATTCATAACTAATGTATTAGTACGGTGGTGCCCGTCTTGTATAAACCACCAAAAGCTTAATATTCTTGAGATAGGAGTAGATTATGACAAGTTTATTCAACCAAATCGTGGGATTTCAGTTCCAGATCACAATTTTTGATTTTGCGATCGGTGTCTTTAACTATTTTGCTAATGTCACTTCAAAAGCATAATATACTTTCAGATATAGGTTCATAAACTTTATAATTTAATTTCGAGCCGAGGGACACAGCTAAAAACTTGCCACATTAAAAATAAAAAAGGTAGGCGGCAAAACACTGCTGACGCGCTAAACGTACCAAAAGTATGAAAGTGTGTGAGAAAAGAGAAAAAGAAAAAGAAATGCGGTTTTAAGATGAGTATCAACTTTTTACATTAAGTAGGTATACATACTAATACATACGTATTATGTATTTCATATAATAATAATGTACATAATATATTGACAAAGAGTTCCTAGGTTTTTTGCTAGGTCTTCTCAGAACCGTGTCATTTTCCGAAACAGTGGTAAATTAAAAATTTACTTTAAATTCGCACTATCTAGTAATCTATATAGAATAAATAATGTATTCTCAATTAATAATATTAATAACCTAATGAATGAAACGGACAACTTACTATTAAATCTCAAACACATACATTTACTCTATTTTACAATCAAAGTGCAATACTACGACAACTGTAATAGTGGCTAATGAACGGAAGACGCGTTCCAGAAAAAATGGCGGCGGTCACGATGCAATCGATTCAACGTCTATCTATCGGCTCACAACGAGAGGCTTGATCGTTATCGGCGGCGATAAAAATGTAACGAGTTTCCGCTTTGAACGGAAAATGTTACTTTAGGTCAAGTTCAGAAGATGTATGCAGGTATATTATAAAAATAACGGCCAGATTAAAACTTCTTTCTATGTATACTTCGGCGGCAATAAAAAAAAGAAGTAACTTACGACTTTATCGCTTCTTTATCATAAAATCTGAAAATATTACTTCTCTTCAGAAATTATTCTTTAAATTAAATACAAAAAATATTATAAACAAAACAAAAAAAAACATTTTACTTATAGAGAATTCAAAGTAATTGTTAACTGTTATATTATAACATGCACAAAGGATAAACTAATTTATTTATAAAAACTATTTTCATTAAAATGATTTGAACTTTTAAATAAAATGTTTTGCACTCCTGCTCCAACAAGCCTCTTTTTAAATAGAGTACAGATAAAGAGTAGAACAAAATAAATTGAAAATATAAAGTGGTCAATCAATCAATAATGTCAAAACAGAGAAAACATTTTCCGTCTTATTTCAAAAAGACATTATTATGATAACAATTCGTTTCACGAGAAAAAAGTCCCGCGGAAATATGCGAACTAAAACTAAAGTACCTATATAATTTGACAGCAAATGTCAGATTTCGCGAAAACTGGCGCCGCGCCGCGGCTAAGTAACTTCTTTCGTGAGTTACACATCCATTTCATATGTTTAAGGCCCAGACTTCTGGGTAGAGAGTAATTGTGTTCTGTGGCCGAGACTATTTTTGACAAGTAGTAGTGATGAGTAAGGGAAGAGTGACAAAGCAAATCTTTGTTGTAGACGTGAACGGCAGAGTCGGCAATGGACGCCCTAGCCCTAGATGGAAGTTTATCGATCTAATTCATGATATATTGAAGATGGGCCAAATTAAGATTAACCTTAACCGACGAGAATGCACACGTAGGTATAGGTAGAGATATAAAGGAAGCGAAAGTTGACTATTTTAGTAAAAAGCTGGCTTTATTATACAACAATTTCTAAGCACAACATAATTGCGAAAACAAGTAATTCGAATGTAAATAAACTGTCAAGACACTAAAGCGCCACTTCAATTGCTGCTCACAGGAGTGAGAAAAATGCGAACGGACAGAAAGACAGAGAGACGGCGAGGGAATTAGATAGGTGTGGGAAATATAGTATTTTATTTATGGCGGTGCGGAACACACGCCGTGGGCCCGTGAGTGTAGCGCGGGCTCAGCGACTCCGGGGTCGCGGCTTGCACACATTCACTAGCGAGTTGCAGTTCAATGTTGTTTTGATGACAGAGACAATAAGAAACCTATGAGTAATTAATTATTTGTTCAAAACAAAGCGACAGTAGCCTAATGGCAGGGCGCGGACCGCGAACTCAAAAAGGTCGTGGGTTCGAATCCGCCATTCGACTACTGGCGTGAACCATACGCAACACAAGCAATTTAAGCTTACCACGAGTGGTTAAGGGGAATATAAGTAACGTTTACAGCATTGTTAATATTCTTCAAAAAAAACCAGGTAAGTGTTAATATTCTGAATGGAAAGAACACATAATAGAATGCATGAAGTGTCTTCCATACAGATTCATATTATACATGCCGCAACGCACACGTGCTGCACACGTCACACACACATTATTTTGGTGCACCTATTGGGTCAGCGTAGACCGAACTGCAAATATTCGAGTAAAATTTTGACTACTCGACCATGCAGGCGGCATCCGTGCGCTTCCGTGAGCAAGATCCATTGAAAGTGCTCTGGGTTGCTAGAGGGAAGTGCATGACCAATTTGATGCCAAAATCCGACGTTGATAGACGTGTTCAATATGATCGATTCAGACTTGGTGATTGGTGTACATGAAGAACATATTAATGAAATCAGACGTCAGAAAATTAGAAGAACAGTATGGGTAGAAGAAACGTGGAGATTCTTTCTCTAGCATTGGCTTTTAACATACGATCGCTGTATGTTGGACTTGATATATTGTACAGACACTCAAAACGCTGCACCAAACTTCTCAACTTTTCTTCGTCCATAATTCCGACTTATGTGACGCGCTTATATAAACTAAACACACGTTTAAACAGTTTTTTCGCTGCGGCAATACTGAGCGCGGGCGGTGGCGGTGCGAGCGCGCTCGCGCACTCTCGAACATGCATCCTGCACGCTCGAGCATGGTCGAGCATCACGTTTGGACGTGTGTATAATATTGCACTGTCTGTCAATAGTCTTAAAATTAATATTTTAGTGTTCTCCGAAAATGCTCTGCTCTGCTCTGCTCTTGGTGTGCGCTGACCCAATACCGTTGAGTGGCAGTGTAAGAATATCCAATGGGTATTGGATATTCCCTGTTTGGTTCCATGGGTGTCGTAAGAGGCCACAGAGGATAACAAACCAGGAAATTGGCAGTAGCGTCTTTCAATTAACAACGAGAAAACTGCGGTTGTCACCCCGTCTGCGTGGTGGTGCGGCAACTTATACGAAAGCCTACAGGAGACCCATGATCAGCACTGGACAAGGCTGTAAGGTAATGGGCCTGTTTAATACGCAACCTGATGGTAAGTGGTGCTGTGCCGTGGAAAGTATTCAACAAGCTGTAGGTGTCGCGCTGAACACAACCGAACGAGCTAGGTAACCAAGTGAGTACTGCAGCTGGGACTGATTATACCTATATATAAGTGGGGTTGTTGCTGTGTTATACATTTCATTATACACTTAAATTTGTTTGCTGGATGTCTGATAACGGCGTGTTAACTGGAATTTTTTATATGATAATTTAAATTTTAAAAAGTTCCTAATATTAAAAAAAAAGAAACACGTTTATGTCGACCATACGCAGACCAAATTATACTGTTAAAGTGATAAGTGTATTGTATTAAATACATTTCACTAAATCCGTTCAGCTGATTATGCGCAATTATTTTAATTAAAACAAAAACAAAAACATCTTCACGAGCAATTAATAGTATAGATACAATCACCAATTAAAACTGATAACAGTTTGCAACTATATCCAGTTAACTTTATGTCCTACGCCTAACTCTAAACCGTCATAAAAGCTCGCTTACAGGTATGAACATATTATTCCGCAATGCAATAAGCAATTAATACAGCCTAGCTGACCGGCCGATAGGTTTAAAGTAGGACAGGGCGTCCTTTGATGACCCTTTCTCAATCAGTTCACCTCGTTAGTATTCTCGTGTGAGCCCGAGTGAGTGAACCGTGTACATTAATGCATTTGCGAACGTATTGTGCAATGCTCCTCCGTGCGACTGCAAATAATGCAACGGATCCGAGCTCATCAGGGACTATAGGTGGATCACAGTAACAATAAGTCTACCATTTCGCAACTTTTTTCTAAAGCTATAATGTGTAAAAGCTGTAATTTGAACAGAAGTGTCATGACGTTCTTTCGGTTGATTTGGAAAGCGTGGGAAGTTCATTAAAAATGGAAATGAATTTATCGGAAGTTGTTGCTACTCAGGAGACGTTACATTGCCAACAGTGATCGGAACCAAAGAGAAGCACTTATTACACAGAAACTTTTTTATTCAATATAAATTATAAATAATACTTATCAAAAGCCACACTTTTGTTAAATTTTCTATTGGTTCGGAAAAAAAACCTCTGTCCTGGGAAGAACCAGCAAGAAACCCAGCGGGACTTTAAAATAAAAACAGTTTACTATCCTATATATTACACAACTAACAACACAAACAAATTAGAAATAGCATGTTAGCGATCACCTCATTCCCGGGGATAAATATCCATAAATTCCTTAATATTATAATAACCCATTTTATACAAACTTTTAAAAAAAGAAAGATTTTATTATAAAAGCGTATACATCGTCCAAAAAATGAATTACCGACACGGAGGAGTCTAGTAACTGGTACCACTAGATACTAGCTTGTGTCTGTTCCTAGTATTTATAGAACAAATATTTTTACTTTTTCCAACCAACTTCAAAAAAGGAGGAGGTTCCCAATTCGTCTGTTAATATTTTATAATGGTGTTAACACAGAACTTTTTTCAAGGCGAACCGATTT